CTACTATTTGCCCTTGCCACTTGTCCTCGTCTCCAACATGGGCTTGCTTTAGTCACACCACTTGCCCACTTGCCTGCACCACTTGACCACTTGCCAACCTTCTAGAAGGACTGCAGCTAGACTTCTAATCTACAGGTCTACAGATCGAATCCTGGCTACCTATAGACCTACGACAGACCTACTTACCACTGGCGGTTCTACAGGTCGCAGGTTCAATTCTTCGAGTTGACACAGGTATTGTACATAGGTAAGTTGGGGAACTAGGGATCGGGCCCTGGGATCTGCATCAGCTACTTCGAACTGGTGAATACCGTTTCAAAAATTAGGGTTGGCCTCCGAAATTTTCACGAAATGTTTTCGCTCCCTTGTTTTGAGAAATTCCGAAAACGGACTTAGGCCTTTAAAAATCGGATTTTGCAGGTGAAAATTCCCAAAATCATGTTTTTTTCGAAAATTCGCGCATTTTCCCCTCATTTTTCCCTCATTTTTCCGAAATTTTTTTGGCAAACTAATCCGAATCTAACCCTCAGAATCGCAACTTCCGGGTAGTTCACTAATCAACGGTGAACTCCCGGACTAAAGACGATCTCAACGGATACCTAATCTTGATAACAATTCAAATTCGTTCGTTATCATTATTGCAAATATTGTTTTAATTGAGTCTCATTAAGAAATCATTATTGCAAATATTGTTTTATCGATTATCATTAAGAATTATTATTTCGTATTAATCATTAATTCAACTTATTGATTAAATGATTCGTTGCATTGCTTGGTAGCCGCCAGGTGATTCATCCATGCCTGCGCTCCTCCAATCAATTGTAGGTAGAGTGCCTTCAACATGTCTTCAGCCGGGACAGTGCGGCAGGATGCTTCCGTGAGGAAACCTTGCCACCATGTCAAAGTGTCGGTCTTGTTGTAGTCGTCGAACTTGCTGATGGTGAACGGCGGCATCTTGAAATTCTTGGTAGCGGCGTCTGGTCTCGTCTGCAGCCTGGTGATGTCCGTCTTGATGGCGGCCACCGTGCTACTGATCGTGTCCGGCCCAGTGAAAGCACCTAGGTCGCCGAGGAGATTGACGACATGATCGATGCACCCGTTGAGCTGCTTCGTCGTGTCTGTCGTGCAGCCTGGCGCTGCTTGTGGAGGCCTCGCCTCCAGAGTAGCAATGCGGGCGTCCAACTGTTTCAGCTGGGAGTCCGCGACCTTGACGGTTGCTGCAAGTGTCTTCACGTTGTGGTTCAGATCTTGCTGCAGTTGTCGTGTGGCCTTGGAATGAAGTTCCCCCATGGTGCTGTTCCAGATGACTGCGCGCATCGTGTTGAGTAGAATGCCTGCCAGGTTTTGCCTCTCCTGTTGCACTGTCGTTGGCTCGGTGCAGGCTACGGGAACATTACGCATCCCGTTGAGGACCGCTGTCCACTGCTCTTGGCTAGAAAGCAGAAGTTCAGCGCTGTCGGCGTTGAGCTGGTCGGTCGCCAACTGGTCTGCCTCAGCTTGACGCTGGGCTTGGGCTGCATCTTCCGCTGCTAGCCGTAGTCTCTCTGCGTCGGCAGCCTCTTGCCGTTCTTTGGCAAGGGTGAGTGCGGCTGTATAGTCCTGCACTCTCTGAATGAAGTCCTGGAGGGGCTCATTCGGCCCTTGCACCGGACAGACTTGTAAGGGTTCGGCATTGCCAGACGTCGAACTTTCAGATGACGTTCCGCTGTTTGTCGTGTTCGCCATCTGAGTGCTGGTCTGTGGCTGCTGTCGATCTGCAGGTTGTTGTTGTTGTTGGAGATCTGCGATCCTTTTGCTGCGTCGTGGCTGCTGTTCGGTGGCTTGCCCTGCTGGCATCAAAACTGCTGCGGGAGGCTCGCTCGTCCGAAGGTCGCAGAACAGTGTGAGGGAGAGGGTGGGCACAGGGATAGATCAGATCAAGCAATATACATACAGTCCCTGTCCCTAATGATGGACTTAAACACCTAATCAAACGGAGAAAAAACTCCACACGCACATCACGTGGAAGGAGTTCGAGCAACTATGGTTCACTCCATTCATGGTCCGCAACGTCGTGAAGGCGGCCATGAACGAGGTGTACATTTGCTCACAAGGAAATATGCCAACTCGAGACTGGACGATTAAATGGCGGAAGATAGTGACCACGCCAGGCTTCAATTTGAGTTTTACAAACCAACGATCCGAGTTCTTCTCGCGATCATGCGCAGGACTGCGGTCGGCACTCGGCAACGAGTACGACTATACCTCGTTCCAGGCTATTCTGGACCGCGCAAACCTGGTCATCCAAACGGACGACAAGGCCGCTAACGAGAAGCAGTCCCAGCCGCACTATGTGGCTAAGCCGGCCTATCAACGACCAGCACAAAACAATGCTGTGATTTCTGAAGAAACAGTCGATCTCCACGCTGCAGCAGCATCCTCGAGTGATGGAGGAATTGTAGCAGCGCTCCCGCCGAAGCGTCCCAAGAGAGTTCGGAAGAACAAGGCAACACAAGAGACGACATCGACGGGAACTGGGCAGCAGCCATGGACGGCATACAAGATAACCAAGGAAATCTATGACCATCGTCAACGTTACGGATATTGCCTTTGGTGCAATGGAGTCACTCATTTGACCGCACAATGCCCCGAAAAGGGCAAGGCACGCGTACCCCGTCCAGCTAACTCGGGAAACTGAGTTACGCAAGGAGAGGGGCGACGCCTCTCCTCACTCCGCCGGACCCGGTTGCCTTGCTAGCAATCGATGTCACTACCGGGGAGCATGCGTTAGTCGCTGATTCTCGTGCTATGTACGAGGATTATGCCGCCCAGCTGGTACCACCACTAGACCAGCCGAGCCACGTGCACTTAAATTGCGTATGCGCAGCCTGTACACCGTCGGCAAGTGATCCGGTCAGTTCGCCACTAATTTCCGAGGACTCGACGACGTGGTCAAGACTTGAGAAGCTTGACCCGCTCACGAGAGAGGACTTCGCTTGGATGCCTCTTCCCTCAACCGGAACCTTGCCAAGGCCGCATTGCAACGCCTTGATGGCAAATCTACGCTCCTATTTGCACACTACAATACCAGCTCCGTTGACGGACGACGGAGTAGTGGTTGTCGATCTCCGCTCCAATCTTGCGAAGATTGACCGCGAGTACGCCACCCAAAGGTACGCCAAAACCGACGCGCCTTTGCTCTATACCCGCATTCAAATCGGAAAGGCAACCTGTAGTGCCTTGATTGATTGCGGAGCATCTCACAACTTTATGAGCCAAGCCTTTATGGCCCGCGCGTTCGAAGGAAGACGCAACCCACGCAAGTTACACTCGCGGACGGCCGCACGCAAAAGTCGATTGACCGATGCGTCAACGGCGTTCCGGTTTACTTTGCGCCACTTGCGTGCGAGCCGGTGTCTTTTGACATCCTCGACACCAAGTTCGACATGATTCTAGGCATGTCTTGGTTGCGTAGCGCCGATCACCCGGTGAACTTTCATGACCGAACCGTTCACATCCGTGATCGGAACGGAGTGTTAGTCCCATGTCCGGTCGCGACCCCTCACACTTCGATTGCTTGTCACGTGGTTTCCGTTGCGAGAATTCGCGACGCCATTGCTCGAAATGACGTCGAGGAGATGGGCCTTGTATTCTTGCATGCTCTCACCTCGCCGGACTGACCAGCCGCGTCACCGCCGGACCCACGCATTTCTCACCTCTTGGACGACTGTAGAGACGTCTTCGAGGCTCCCACCAGAACGGTTCCGGATCGGCCCATACGTCACGGGATCACTCTCGAGGCTGGCGTCCTCCCTCCGCGTGGATGCATCTACCGCATGAGCGAAGAGGCACTCGAGGTGCTTCGCACACAACTCGATGACCTCGACAAGGGCTGGATTCACCCTAGTTGTTCGCCCTACGGTGCCCCTGTTCTCTTCGTCCGGAAGAAGAACAAAGATCTACGGATATGCATCGATTATCGCAAACTTAACGCACAAACAGTAAAGAACGGCGGCCCTCTCCCTCGGATTGATGATCTCCTTGAGCGGTTAGGCGGCGCGACGTACTTCTCGAAGTTGGACTTGAAGTAGGGCTACCACCAGATTGAAATCCAGCCTCAAGATCGGTACAAAACCGCGTTCAAGACGCGGTACGGGCATTTTGAGTGGGTTGTCATGCCTTTTGGCCTCACGAATGCCCCCGCGACTTTTCAAGCAGCTATGACGACTGAGTTTTGCGACTCCCTCGATCGCAGCGTCCTCATCTACCTCGATGACATCTTGGTCTATAGCAGGACGTTGGACGAGCACATCACACACCTTCGTGCTGTTTTGAATCGTTTGCGACTGGCCAAGTACACAGCGAACCGCGACAAGTGCGAGTTCGCCAAGCAGGAGCTTGAGTATTTGGGCCACTATGTTACGCCGAAAGGCATTCGTCCCTTAGCGGACAAGATCCAAGCCATCGTGGATTGGCCGGAACCCCGTTGCACAATGAATGTCCGCTCTTTCATGGGTTTGGCTGGATATTATCAGCGATTCGTCGAGTCATAGTCAAAAGTGGCCGCTCCTTTGTCGAGACTTCAGTCCCCGAAGGTGCCCTTCGAGTTCGACGACGCAGCCCGTGGCACGTTCACTACGTTGAAGGCAGCAATGCAAGCCGCACCTGCCCTCCGTATATATGACCCCACCCTCCCCACCCAAGTGAYTACGGACGCTTCRGGRTACGGTATTGGTGCGGTGTTGGAACAGTGTCACGAGGACGGTTGGCATCCGGTCGAGTATTTCTCCCAAAAGGTGCCTCTCATCAACACTCTCGACGACGCTAGGAAGAAAGAGCTACTCGCGTTCGTCACCGTTCTCAAACGGTGGCACCACTTTCTTCTCGCCCGTCGGCGTTTTAAATGGAATACGGACAACAATCAGTTAACCTTTTACAAAACGCAGGATACGGTCACTAGCTCGATCGATCGATGGATGTATTACATCGACCAGTTCGACTTTGACCCGTGCCACATTCCCAGTCCCACCAATCGAGCTGCGGACGCCCTCTCACGACAGCCCGATTTTTGTGCCATTGTGACCACGACATTCGACCTCGATGACGATCTCCAGCCGCATTTCGTCGAAGGCTACAAGTCCAATCTGACTTACTCTACGCTTTACGCAGAGCTTTCATCGGATCACCCACCGGCTAGCCACTATCGGATTTCCGACGGGTTCCTTCACCTTCACACGAGAGGAAAGGACTTGTTAGTTGTGCCCCAAGATCGCATCTTACGGACTCGTCTTCTCGGTGAATTCCACGACGCACGACTTTCGGCACACCTTGGCGTGAACCGCACATTAGCACGCCTCCGCCAGCGTTTTCACTGGCCCAACGTCCTTCATGACGTCACGAGGTACATTGAGTCATGTGCAGTTTGCCACCATAACAAGGGTCGATCTCGAGTCCCCTTCGGCGAACTGAAACCATTGCCGATTCCTCGGGCACCGCGCCTCTCCATTGCTATGGACGTAGCAGGCCCGTTCCCCCGCGATCGCCATGGCCATGACGGTATTCTCACGGTTGTTGACCGTTTGAGCAAGTATGCTCGCTTTCTTCCGTGCAAGTATCTTGCTGCAGCGCCTGAGCTCGCACGACTCTTGCACACCGGTTGGATTACCAACCAGGGTGCTCCGGAAGACATAGTGAGCGACCGAGATACTCGCTTCATGTCGGCCTTCTGGACTTCCCTCATGGCTGAGTCCGGTACGACCATGAAGCTGAGCTCGGCTCGGCACCCGCAGACGGATGGCTAGACGGATCGAGCGCACCAGACCGCTCCCGACATCGAGTTCGCCTATAACACTTCGGTGGACCCTGCGATCTGCGTCACACCATTCGAGCTACATCATGGTGGAGAGAAAGCACGGATCTTCGCTGATCTCCTTTTGCCACAGGCTGCTGATATAGACGTCCCTTGCTCTCCCGCTTCCGTTCGGAAGTAGCGGGACTTGCTGATCAAAGCCCTCGCGAATATGCAAAAGGCTCAGATCCGCATGCAGCAGCAGGCTAACCGACGTCGACTTCCATGACCTTTCCGCGAGGGAGACCTTGTTTGGGTCCTCTCCGAGGAATTTGCGCTCGAGCAGGACGTTTCGCGCAAACTCCTTCCGAAATGGTTCGGACCATGGGAAGTCACTTCTGCCGTTGGAGACGACCCCGCAGGTCCTTCCTTTGTGGTCAACATTCCTCCGCACCTTCCAGTGCACCGGGTCTTCCACGCGTCGAAGCTGGCCATCTACACGCCACCTTCCGCCGACGAGTTCCCCGGCCGTCGATCACAGGATCCGCCTTCTATGGACGGACATCAGGAAGTCGACCGAGTCATCACGCACCGCAAGTATGGCAACAAGTCAATGTAGTTCAAAGTCACATTCAAGCAATGTGCGCCTAATGACACTCGGTGGATCTCCAGTACAGATTTGCAGACTTCTGCACCCCGTATCTTCGCCGACTATGAGAAGCGACGCCTTGCTAAGGAAGCAGCTCGTCCCGCCCGACCCACCCCGGTATCGGACAGACAACTTCGCCCTCGCAGTTAGCTCGGTCTTTTAAGAGGGGGAGTGTGTTACATCTTCGACGCCACACGGGCCCTACCGGACCCGACTTAGGGCCAGAGGGACACAGTAGGGCCTAAACGCCCGACCTTGGGGGTACTATAGGCCGTAAAGGCCTCACTTTGGACCAGGCTCGACGGGCAGGCCCAAACGACATTACCGTTTGGGCCTGGCGGCGCTCTTGAGACTGCCGCCCGCCGGTTGGGGCTGAACCGTCCATCTTGACGGTTCAGGGCACGGCCAGGCCTCGCAGCATTGAGGCCGGCCTCTGCCCCACCGGTACAAAAGACCGGTCTGACCTCACTTCGGGCCATCGAACCACCGACAACTTTAGCGGTGCGTTATGGTTAGCGCC